CCCCCCCCCGACCCAAGACCCCTGTTACGCGCCTGCTTATAAGTTGGGCCCCCCCACTTTGAAAAACGTTCCGCCGGCCCTGCGTTATGTTTTTATACCGGTAAATAAATTCTTAATTATTTACTGTAGGCCTAGGCTTACATATTTTCTCCTTTTTGTTATTGACGTATCTAGCTGTTCTATAACTGCGTTCTTCTCATTAGCGGCTGTTGTGTATTCGGTGATCCCTTTGGCGTTCCATACATTTGACGTGGCGGCCGAAATGACTGGCGGCCGAAATGATCGAACAACGGCTACGTGACGTCCGTTTTCTGAAATCAACTTCTGCTGATACTTTTAGAAACCCTAACTTTTAATCTGATGTAACAATTTTATAAAACTATGGAAGGTAAGTTTATTATTTGATATACATTACGTTGAATTGTCTTAGAAAAAATACACAATAAAAAACAAGCCAGAGCCGTCGGTAGGGTAGCCGATCATTTCGGTCGCGCTTCGTTTCGGTCGCGGTTTATTTCGAACAAATATATGGAGCGCCGAAGGAGTTGCGAAAACGAAAAAAATTAATATGCCAGGCCCTATATATTTTAGTTCGTGAATCGTTTTATCATAGGCCTAAGTATTATTGTTTTGCTATCTTTCCACTAACAAAATATCTTTCTACTATATTCTCTTTCTTCCATTTACGGTGATATATTCATGATTGCAACATGATCTTGTAATTGAAAAAATGGAATTTAGTATGTGCTTCATATGCTATTCTTTTTGTTGCGTTTTCATATACTATACTTTAATAAACGGTCAATAAAATGTATCTTTGATTTTAATTGAATTGGATATTGTTACCATCTGAAATTTATTTCATAATTTAGTTAAAACAATAATCATTCAATATTTAAACTGATCTTTTTATACAATAAATATATTTATTTTTCTTGCAGCTTCCAGAGTTTGGATGAACCATACCAAGAGAATTGAAGAAAACACGAAGAAATAAACGAATAATACACACATTATCATTCTTCACTTGAAATCTTTAATACCCCTGCGCAGTTCATAAATATGAATATATATTTATATATGATTTTATCATATTG